TTTTTTTACTTCACTCGGTCTGTCTAACTCTAGCTATCGGAAGCGGGCTTCTGCAGTATCGAGGCGGAGAGTTGACGACCATTCATCCATCATAACCGCTCATACTTTGATCCTGAGATTGCTGGTTTCACTCCGATTCCCTGTCGCTCCTTTTATTTGTTTTTTCCCCCGTGCGACAAGTGTTCTTTCCTAGTATGGGATTCCCGCACTTGTCGCCACCCGCCATCAGTATCCACGACGTGAATGGTGGCTATGACCAACCACGTGTGATCGACCGATTCAGCCAAAGCTTGCCAACCTACCCTTTTCCCTCTTCAAGTCCTATGTCAATTCCTTCCAAGTCAATGTCCAACTTTGCTCCACCACCTTTGCCTCCACCGTCGCGCCTCGCGGATTTGGAGGACGGACACGATACCGGCTGGATGCATGCCAACTCGCAGGGTTCCATGTCAACAAAAAAGCTTGCCCCTATCAGCCCCAGCTCCAGCTTATTTAGTGGTCATCTCCATCATCGACGACCAGAGGCATCTGCGCACAGTGACCCCATGATGTTGGATGATTTAGAGGGCCGCCAAGGTCGTGTGCCTGTTCCCAGAAGTCCCGAGGCTCAGATCAGAATTGAACCACCACCACCGATGGACGACGGATTTCGCAATTCTGTGGCCACTCTCCCTGGGCCTTCCTCCATGTAAGTTTACTGAAACGGTAACTATATGAGTAGCCAACTGACAAAATCAGTCTGCAAGGCGAACGCGACTTTTCTCGCAGGAACATGAAAGATGCGTCAGATAGTTATGACCAACATCTTCTATCCAAGATTGGGAAACCGCTCTCGCCACCCCAATCCATCAACGAGGGACGAATGACTTCCACGTTGACTATTCCGTCTCGTACTTTTGGCGGTTTACCCTCTCCCGGAGGCTCGGATGGTTCGATGCTCGATGTGAAATGGCAACACAGTCCTATCTCCGCAGGAGGAATTTCGCCAGGTACCAAGGTTGGTTGGAACTATCTGGATTGCCGGAGTCCGAGTGTGGAAAGCAGTGCACCTTCGTCAGCCGTGGAACACGATCATGCCGGCTATTCTTATCGACGCCGTGGCGGCAGAGCGACACCAGATACCCTAAGCCTTCCCAGTCGATCCAACCGGGGAAGTTACGACGAAAGAGCGTTTTCGGATGTGGAGGGAGACTATGACGATTCGTTACCACCGCGACTGTTCCAAGTTCGGGAAGCTACACCACCGTATTTGGACCACATGAGATCCGGCACGAAACGACGAGCATCCAGCCCGCCCCGTGAAATGATTGCCGATCATCGAGGCTCGCTTCATGTGACGACCAGCAACGGTGACCTTTCTCAGCGTCGAACGAGTGGACATCCATTTGGGAATAACCTGTCGGTTAGCAGCACCTATACTCCAAGCCACAGCAGTCATTCAGCGGCATCTTCGATAAGTTACCGCACTTCCGGATCGTATTCGTCAACAGGGCTTTCCGTAGGCGCTAGCAGTATGACGAGCGTTTCTCCATACGACCGTCCTTCCCCTGGTGGCCTTTCGCCTGGGCTCTCGCCCAACTCCGATTTGGATTCGCTGCACGACAAGTCGATTATGAACCCCAGCTCTCCTGGTGCTCTTCCCGGGCCGGCTGTGATGCGCCCTGCGACTTCAGACACATTGCAACCATCCGGCACCGCCCCACCAAGGAAAGTATCTTTGCAGAACACGCTGACCGTGCCCAAACTCGGTGGTCCCAAGGTGGGAGGACTGTACATCTGCGATTGCTGTCCAAAGAAGCCGAAAAAGTTCGACAATCCAGACGAACTACGGGCCCACGAGATGGAGAAGCAGTATTCATGTCAATACTGCAACAACCGGTTTAAGAACAAAAATGAAGCAGAACGACACCAAAACTCGCTCCACCTCCGTCGCCATTCCTGGTCCTGTGCCGCACTTTCGAATTACCAAGCCGCTTTCCATCCCTCTGGGACAACGGCATCGTCGTCGTCTTCGTCGTCTTCACAATCAAACAATAACAGCTCTTCATCGTCTCACGATATTTGCGGCTACTGTGGTCAGGAATTCCCCAACTTGCCACAGCCCGATTGGGATCGTCGCTTCGAGCACTTGACTGCAGTACACAAATTTGGCGAGTGCAACAACGCAAAGAAGTTCTTCCGTGCGGATCACTTCCGCCAGCATCTGAAGCATAGCCATGCAGGAACTAGCGGAAAATGGACGAACATCCTGGAGAATGCGTGCATGAAGGAGGAAGCGCCTCCTGAGAAGAAGAACGCCAGTGAAGAAGGCAAGGCAGGGAATTCAGAATCAAAAGCATCGACTTCCAGTGAATGCTGACAATAATTCAACATAAATATGCAAAAGAAACATATGCAAGTTATGACACGACATGATATTTTTTGGTTCCGTCTCGGGTCGGGTCTGTTGTCTGGCTTTGTTGGGGGATGGAAAAGGAGTCTGGGTAGAGGCGGCTTTCTCGTTTTTTGGCAAATTTTCGTGTTTGATCTACTGTTTTGATTACTATACTTTCTTGGAGTTGGTTGGCTATTTGGATATAGGTAGGATGGACATGTTGGGATAGGATAGGATAGCATGATTGGGCATATATGTACATAGCATTTCCTACACCTGGTATACAAACGCTTTTTATACAAACACTCTGGCAGCTTACTCCGTAACACTATCCTTGATAACCCTAAGCGCATTATACTTGGACCCAGGCAGGATAGCAGCCGCATTCTGCGCACGTCTTCTCGCATCCGTCCAGATCATAAACTCCCCATACTCCTTCGGCATAACCTGCACATCGCGGTCCACCAGGAAGGTGTAATGGAACATGCCTGTGCTCTTCTTCGTCCCGTGCTCGACGTCCCGGACCTTCGAGTCCACTCTCACTTGCACCTTGGTGTACTTCCCGCCGTCACCGCCGGCGTCTTCCTCTCTCAGCCCTGTCGCAGGTGCGTCATACGGCTCTGTATACGATACCGTCGCCCTCAAGTACAGCACACTACCCACAGGAACTGGATTCTCAAAGGTACTTGGATCGAGCGCTAAGAAGTTAGGACGAGTATGGCTGAAAGATGCGGCGCAGCAGAAGGCCAGCTCAAAGGTGTGTTTTAGCAAAAAGCCGCCGAAGATCATGAAGCTGTGGCGGTTGCGGTCTTGAGGCTGCATGATCATGGCGCTAGTTAGGACGGTAGAGGACATGAAGGAGGTGTTTTCGGGGCGTTTGGTGGGACTTTGGGGATCTAAGCCCACGTTAGTATGGTGTGGGATGAATGGGGTGTGTGAGGGGGTACCTCTGTAGGAAACCTCTTGTTTCCACATGGAGTGGATGAGGTTTGATTCTTCGTCATCAGGTGCCTTTTCGAGGAGACTCCGCGTGCGGAGAGCCTTCTTGGCCTTATAATTCTCCTCGCCCTTCCTAAACAACCCTTTCTCTTCTTCTGTCTCTAGCACCAACGGCGCAACGTTGACCGGCTTCTTCGTGACGGGGTCAAGTGACACCATCGTAAACGCGCAAGTAATCAACACATCATCCGGCTTGACGCTCTGCCCTTCCGGCGGGACCTTGGCAACCTGCAGGGAGATCTCCATACTCGATCTTCCTGTAGCGTAGGTGACCTGTCCGCTAAGCTCGAGGTCACAAATCTCCATCAGCGGATGCTCAATAGTGATACGGTCGACAGCCGCGGTGACGGTTGTCACATTGTCGCCGGTATGGCGGTAGGCGATAATACCAGCCAGAGCATCGAGGTCCATAAGCAACGACCCCAGTCTACACCTCATCAGCACTTGCTTCGTATATCAATACAGATCCAAGAACAGAACTACCGAATATGCCCCGTAGCATTCAAATAACTGTCCAACAACCACTTATCCTGCGCCACCGGCAACACAACACTATAATGACTATCGCTCATCCTCTTCGGTGTCGTGTCTACCTTTGCCGCCGTCGGGCTCACATCCTTCGGACCTGTGGCGGCGGCGGCGGCGGCGCGCGCTTCCTCGCGGGATCTGGTGAGTGCTTCGATCCAAGGTGTTTTTACGCGAGAGGGCATGCGCGTGGGACGTTGGGGGGTTGCGGAGGATGCGACGTCGTGGGTGGGTGGTGTTGTGGTGAAGGTGCGGAGTGATGATGTTGCTGTTGCTTGTATGCGGGTTGTTGGCCGCGCGAGAGCGGCGGCGGTGCGTTTGCCCAGGAGCATTTTAGTTATTTTGGTATTTCAGTGAGATGGAGTATGTACAGAGCAAGAAGAGTGAGTTAAAGAAGAAGTTAATTGAGCGAAGCTGGTTGGTCCCGATAGTAATCCGGGAACCCGGTCCGGGGTGTCGGGGGGATTGGGTTTTCCCGCTCCGGGAGGAATCGGGTCGGTAGTATAGGCGGTAGTACATAATTATGGTATCAGGTATAGGGCAGAGAATGGTAGATTGAACTGAGTTCTAATTAACAGTATATATGTAACAAGTAATGTTGTACTTTGTAGACAGACTGCAGTGCAGAATGCTGAGCAGATCGATGACATCATAGGGTAGAAGTACATCCCTGCAACGATCATATCAAGTGAATAAGATTATTTAGAGTATGCGCCTGTGTACATAACGAAATACCTTTATTTGTACTAACCAGTTGCAACGAGATATACTGCGACCTTAGTACTTCAAATGCAACTATCAGTCCACGTCCTCTTGAGATGTTCCGGATACCGGTCAGTCCACCAGGATACCAACATCCGCGACACCATCCTTCACCATCCGTTTCCCGTCTCGCCCGAGAACATTTTCCGTTAACTCCAAGGTGCGCGTACATATGCCTGCATGTCGAGGGGAAGCGTTGATGCTTAGAAATGATAGGAGTGCCGGGTTAGGGCTAGCTCTCGCCCGAGAGCGCGTCAAGATGAAGTCATCGATAAGATGGACTATATAAATCCTACAACTTCAGACATGCAGGAAATAAAGGCAGGCATTGACAACGATACAAGACAGACGAATACACAGATAGAAAAGAAGAATGGACGCGAACAACCCCAACATCGAGAAGCGATCAACCCCCCAGTGGGCGTTGTATCAGCGCGAGAACTTCTGGAAGGTCAACGATGGACATGTTCCTCCGTTTAACACACGTACGCTTCTACATTTTCCATTTGTGCTTGGAGCCAGGGCAATGACCGACGAATAACAGACCCCATCAAACTCGAACAACGAGCCCGCGAACGCCTCACCGAGTCCGGCTGGTACGTCCCCACGATCTAAATTCATCAATTGTACACCATACTAATAAGGACAAGGTTCTACGCCTCCTCCAACGCTGGCATGTCCAATACACACCTCGCCAACCGCCAAGCCTTTTACCGTCACCGCATAATCCCCAACCAACTCGTCGACACGAACAACCGCGACACAACCACCGAGATCTTCGGCCACAAGGTCTCTGCACCCATTGGCTTCGCACCAATCGGTATCAACAAGATTTATAATCCACTGGCAGAGTTACCTGTCGCCAAGGTCGCAGGAGAGCTGAATATCCCGTACTGTCTGTCGACGGCTGGGAGTACGGCGATTGAGAAAGTTGGCGAAGCGAACGAGAACGGGCCGCGGTTTTTCCAGTTGTACATGCCCCATGATGATGAATTGACACTGTCATTGCTGAAGCGTGCGTGGAAGAGTGGTTTCGATGCGGTCATGTTGACGACGGATACGTGGCAGCTTGGTTGGAGACACGATGATGTTGCGAGCTCCAATTACGCGTTCTACCGGGGCATCGGTGCGGATTTGGGCCTCACTGATCCCGTCTTCCAAAAACGGTGTCGCGAGGACGGTATTGATCCCGAGAAAGATGTTCTCGCGGCGTCGACAAAGTGGATTGATTCGATTTGGCACGGTCGTGCGTGGTCCTGGGAGAAGCTCCCGTGGTTGATTGAACAGTGGAAAAAGATCTCAGGAGGCCGCCCGTTCACTATCAAAGGCATCCAGTCCGTTAAAGACGCGAAGAAGTGTATCGAGTACGGCGTCGATGGGATTGTCGTGAGCAACCACGCAGGTCGGCAGGTTGACGGCGCAATCGCTAGTCTCGATGCGCTGGAAAATATCGCGAATGCGGTTGGCGACAAGTTGTATATCATGTTTGACTCTGGGGTGCGTGGCGCGAGTGATGTCGTCAAGGCACTTGCACTTGGTGCGAAGTTTGTGTTTGTGGGGAGACTTTGGGTTTGGGGATTGAGTATAATGGGTGAAGAGGGGGTGAGGCATGTCATGAAGAGCTTGTTGGCGGATTTGGATATTTTGATGGGTGTAGGTGGGTTTAATAAGGTTGAGGAGTTTGAGAAGGACATTTTGGGTAAGTACCCTTCTACTTGATGCGATGCTTGGATATTAATATTGGCAGAATCATACCCCAAGTCGTACAATCTGATCCCGGATAAGGTGCTGTAATCACCTGGATAATGAATGATGGACCTTCAATGTATATATTTTGATGATGTATATCCACTTGAGAAACGCGTTTGTCAGGTGCAAACGAAATAAACGAATGTATATAACATGTACGATGAATGTATGGGTATGCCCCTGTACAGATAAACGATAGTATAAAGACAATTGAAGAAAGAAAAGCATCCCCGTGTACCGGATGCAAACGAGAGGTGTTCGGGATTACACCCAGAACATGCAAGCCACCAGCAAAATCGGCCAACCGAAGCGTGGGGCTGTGGCCACAGCAGCAGAATCAGCATCTGTCAAGCTAGCAGCACTAGCCGACGAAGTACTGCTAGGAGCATCATCAGAACCAGACCCAGATGACGCGGCAGTCTCAGCCTCGCTACCTGCATCTGAACCCTCGACACTATCGGCTTCCTCCGCATCTTCCTCGGAAGTGACAACAGGCGCCGTCTCGCCCTTTTTACCACCGAGTCCGATGCGGTTGTTATCGTAGTCGAAGATAGAGTAGACATTCTTCAAAAAGACATCACCCACAAGCCACTCATCATCGCCAAAGGACTGGTACCCGACAATGGTGGAGACGCAGTTATCGCCGGCTTTCTGTCCAACGTAGTCTTTAGGGGAGATGTTATAGCTAACGCCCGAGAATGTGATGCGAATTTCAGCATCCGAGTCGCAGGGGAGAACAAAGTTTTTGCCGGACGATGTGGCACCAGGAATGAGGGAGTGGACCGCCTTAGCATCGTCAGGAGGAAGCATCATGTACGATGTGCCCGTGTCAAGTATGGCACCCTTTCCGGTGAAGTTACAGGCCTGGCCGTCGACGGTAACGTCGTCGACAGGGATTTCCCAGCGGTTGCTCGAGGAAATGGTGTCGGTGTAGGTGATGTTGCCGTCCAGCTTGGACTCATCGACACCGCCAAAGGTAACAGTTCCATCCTGGTCATCATCAGACCCCCGGGAGAGACTGAACCCGACAATGTTGGAACCCAGCATGTTCCCCTTTTGCACAAAGTCCATAAACGTGGGAGTCCCGAAACCAGTGTCATTCGACCGACTCAAGCCCAGCAGGCCATCCATTGGATACGACAGAAAATCATCCGACGCCTTTGATGCCAACCCAAAGGTCATGTTGACCGTCAAGTCCGCGATGGTGATAGTATCCCATCCAACGAGACCGTTCACCGTACCCGTCCCATACTGCACCGTCCACGCTGTATTCGTTATCTGCAGAGTATCCGAAGCATCCTCCCCAAAGCTATCATGCTGCTTGCAAGCTGTGCTCGAGCAGTCCGAGGAAAACACCCAGCTGTCACTTCCCCCTGTGTCCAGTAACATCCGCATCTTCTGCTTCTGCGAGCCGACCTGCACCACGGCAAAGTATGAAAAATCGTTTCCGTCTTGGTCGATGGCGGCGCTGTTGGATTGGGACGGGGGGTCGGATGTGACAACTTTGTAGTTGTTGTCGCGGCGGACAGGGAGTTTTTGGAGGTCGAGGGTTAGAGGGTTGGATGACCCCTGGGAGTCTGAGTCTTCCGAGTCATCTTGTTGGAGTTTCCATGGCATGAAGCGGCGACGGAGGCCTGACAGAAGAGAATTGCCGATGGAGACTTCCGTGTTGAGTTGGTAGGGGTAGAAGGCCGTGACGGAGGAGGAAAGGGAAGCGGCGGCGAGGAGGGATGTCGTGAGACGCATGGCGCTGGTATAACAAACAGTAATCTATGCACGACAATATATAGATTCAGCAAGGCATTGGGAACGAGGGATGAGCGACGAGAGCCAGAGGCCAGCCTCGTTATAACAGGCTCAGGACGTTTAATACAGGCGACTTGGGATAAATGATCGACAAACAACAAAAGAGAGAAAGAAAGAAATCAAACTGAAACACAGAAAAGCGAATGAGAGTGAGATGCAAAATAGCGAATAGAAGAAGGATTGAAACAGACAAATCGCAAAAGAAAGGAATATATACAGCTGCCTCCGTACAAAGAAAAGAGGGGATACTCCGATAATTATAGAGTTCGGTACTATGCACGGCACATCCAATAGAAGACTGCCAATGCGGTGGGGCTCCCCAGAGCAGTCAAGGCACCATTCCCGATCGGTGGAAACTGCGAAGATCTTTTTCACACCAAACCCAATTAGGCGGTTGGTGCAGTCCCCCTGAACACATGATGTCATTGACAGCTAGTCGGGGCCAAGTGCATAATTATCTAAATGCGTGAAATGAGTAGACTAGAATGGACATATAAATGGACTTATAAATCAGTACAAACAGGACGGGTGTATACAGATGGCATACGCAAACACTCCGAACGTACAGGTCAAACTCAGCGCATCGCTAGGTCTGGAACGCTGTTCTATGGCCAGAAGAACTGTGGTCCCTCTCGGCGGACTCATCATCTTGCAAGTTGCCACTCCCATTGGCCCCTCACAATTGATCTGTCCACTCATTTTTTGCCGCCGCTGTGGACCATGTTCGGTCTGTGCCTGGACCGTCACGTGCGCTTACTCATTCTCCAGCTACGACTGAGATACGGAGTCCAGAGTACAGGACCCCAATGGCAACACAATAGGTCAGATACACTTGGCGGATATCTAAAGCTGCGCCAACCAAGCGAGAGAGATTATATAGAGCACTAGAAGATGCACACTGGGATCAGGACGCCTAATAAGATCCTGAATATTAAGGCCGCGGGAACCACATTCTCCGAACTGGAAGAAGGTCGCTACAATGACCCTTGGTCCCCCACTCTAGAAGTGGTAGACGAACGTGAGGCCACCTGAGAACGTTCCATGGTGGCCTAGTCTTGCCTGGCGCCCTTGCGTTCTACCGGACTCCTCCTTTGAGTGCCAGTTTCGCCTAGCGAGATCACCAGGTCTACAACATGAAAGTAATTGTTCTTGCTCCGGCTGGCATGGTCTTCTCCCACCATCGCAGCCAGAAGGTGGGCTATATGACATTGTGTGAAGACCTATTCCGCGACATAAAAGAGACTGCCGTTGATTTTTGCGTTACGGTGGACATGGCCTGATACTGGAATTTTCAGTCGACAGTAGCAGACTGGCTAACAGCGGCCTTTGCACGCACAGAGCCTGTGGGCTGAGGTAGTTTGGTTTGCGAGCTCTTCCGCGTGTTTCTGAAATATGTAGTGCTGGCTATTATGCCATACGAAGCGACTAACTTACTCTTTGTATCATACGTATACAGAGATATGGTATCCATGTTCTTGGTCATAACCTGTACCTTCCACCTTCAAAACACCGCAGAAAAGGGGGCTCAGTGGCGAATTCGGGCACTGAGTTTCTCCCGGTGAACAATCGCCACCCTAAGTCCAGAGAAGCGCCTTTGGAAGGCGGCAACAGAGGAACATGAGGAAACTAGGGTCACAAAAAAGGCCGCAGACCTGTGGCTTTTTATGAAGAAGCCATGCTGTACCAGCAAATGCAAATACTGAGCGGTCCTGTTTTAGTGAGTGAGCCAACTGTTATAGCCTATTCAAAAGCCGGAAGACTTTGGCGAGAGACATAGTGAGTACTTGCATTTTGTGTTGCTGGCTGGAATATTGGATGGTCTAAAGTTTTCTTATTTTCTCTTCAGTCCAGCTAAATAGTTCTTACTATAATGTGCTTCTAGTGTTGGATCTCCTAATGACATGCCATTGTTGTTGCTGTTGAACATATGCAATACAACCATAGAAAGTGGAAAAAGGACTCCTATCTGCTCAGCCATTCTGATGTTCTTTAACAAATTCATTCTGTTTTTGTCTTCTTGCCGTAACTATATTCTACCTTAGCCAGATAGCATTATTTTATTCTTGCGTAATGGGGACCAAGTTCCTGACCAGTTCCAAACGACAGTGAATGGACAAGTCCACTTGCCGTTCACACAACGGCTACCTCAGCTAAGAGCTGCGGTGTCTGACAGATTTTAGCCCTATCACCCAACTTGGTTAGCATGCGTCGCATTCTGAAAGTTGGTAGCATTACCTATTCGTTGGGAGGACTCCAAGGCCCCAAGTTTTTCAGACATCCAGCTGTAGCAAAGACATACTAGCATGAATACAGATATCGGGTACGAAGTACATGGTGTTATAGAGTGAAGTGGCATGGCCGGGCCTGGAACTTACTACATGGTAATACCTGCCCTCTTGATTGATTCAACGAGTCTCCGCTTTCTGCCGCCGCATGTGACAAACTGGGAGCATTCCTTGCAGAATAATTCGGCATGTACAGAGTACTAGAAACATAGTTAAACAGTGCTGATGGTATGGTCTCTCCCTTTAGCAGCTGTCACTTGCGCATCCGAGTAGCCGGGTTCACGTTTCCTGAATCGTGGTGTCAACAGGATGGACCGGTAGATGTAATTAATCATTACCTTTAAAGCATGCTAGCACAAGCTACATTATAGGGCTCGGAACCTCATATATTACGCCGTCATATGACCAACGTGCCCGATATATCGAGACAATTGGACTTACTTGTCCAAATAGCTGGCAATTGTCACCGTGAACAGCTGGTCGGAAACCTAAATGGAACAATATCTCTTACTAAGGGGTACTACAGCTAGAACAGATTCGGATTTTAAAAGGGCAAAAAAAAAAAAAAAAAAAAAAAAAAAAAAAAAAAAGAAAAAAAGAAAGAAAGAAAGAAACCGTTTCCGAGCTCCAGTCAGTATGTTTCTAGTCATCGTATATAGTATGCCAGCTAATGTGAAAACTAAGAGCAGTAGTAATAACAATGACATGAGTCCACTACTAGAGATTTCTTGTATAGGGCTTCCCAAATCCAGGTGACTGAATGCGGGTATCAATTGTTGCTCTCCACAAAGCCTTCACTTCCATCTAAGGCGGACGTTAGGATTCTGTGTTCAATTTTCGCAGGCCTATGTGCCAATTGCCTTGCATATTGCTCCAGATAGTAAGTAATGCGCTGAAGGAACAAACTCATATGGAACTATCTAAGGCCGCGAATTCACATGAACAGACTCATAATAGACTATCACTGATATCAACATAAACTTCTCCAGTCGGTAGCGGCGACATAATGAAGCGAACTCCCCAGCCAGGTCATGGTGAGGTGTAGACCCGGTATGAAAGGAAACCCCCCCGTGGACAATATTAGCTGAGGGGTTCTGTCGAAGAACTGAAATTTCCTTTGAGATCGACCCTTTGGTGAGCCACTTCTATAGCTTCAATCAGGCTCAAGTTCGGTTCCCCCTAGATTAGGAAGGCAAGATCGTCCTTATAAGCTCAAACAGCTTTCATGATCTATCCACTAGAATGTGGCTTTCGTTTCGTTATGGCTGTCAGTGCAGTGGGCATGGAAGAATCAATGGAGAAAGAATTGAAACTTGTGGCTTCCCAACTGCTTTATCTTCCACACATTAGCACTCATCTGTCCGGCCACGCGACGAGGATATAGTGAAGGATTCGACTGTTTGCCCTCAAGCTTATAAAGTTTCAATTCTAAGAGCAAATAGATCTCGCGTCAGCTAAGACCGACAAAAAGCCGGATTCCAAAGTCTCGTCAACAGCCCCCCCCGCCTGTATCAGAGATTTGGTGAGTATTGAATATGAACTCCGTTGGTGATCGATAGCTTTGAACACTTTACTGTGGAGAGAACCGGTAATATTGCGAGTAATATAGTTTGCTTCTGTGTTGTATCGTGACACATTTGTGGCTTTGAACACATCGTACTTTATAGTAAATTCCACCAGAAAGTAGTTTGCTAGCCTGGTCAGAAACTGAATGATGAAAGCGTTGGCAATTGATTCAACACCAGCTTCGGAGAATCCCCCCTATTTCTGGCCGTTTTAGAGGACCTGTACTCTAGGACCAGAGTGATGAGATGCTTCCGCGGTGGTTTTTGCACATATCTGCAAAAGCTAGTCCGGCCGAAACAAACTCCAAGCCGGTAAAAGAGCACAACCATACCAATTTTTTCAACACCAATGATCTTACGGCCACTTTTTAGGAAGCCGTTCGTAAGCGGTATGCTTTGCTTTGCGTTTTATTTTGTCAGAAGTCGGAAATCATCGAACCGCCTTCATTGTATTGTTGGTCAAGGACGAGACTTATTCTTACCCTTTCACAATAGACCAAGCGCACCAAAGCCCCCAAGGATTATGTAATCTAGGACCTCTTCGAAATATGATACGCAATGGCCCTGAGGCAGCGCTATATCGGGTATCTGTACGTTGTCGGGCCGTAGCATATGAAATGTAGGGAGAAATGGTCAGTTATTAGGGTCGAGATTCACGATCGCCTTATCGGGCCGACTTGTTGCAGTAGAGGCACTCGTCGATGCAAAGCCGTAATTGGCCCGATGACTGGGTGTGTGGTTCGTTTGGAGACCGCACTTCCTGGCAGTCCAACCGTGGTATATAGCGGTATCGAAGCATATAGTATTGCCGTGACGATCGTGCTACCGGCCCTAAAGATCAAACTTGCAATGGTTAGCTTATGCAGGTATATCGAAAATCGGGGGTTCCATGGGTATCATACCAATAGTCATAACCTGTACTACAGATTGGTCGGACTTGATCACCACCTGTTGCGAAGGAGCTTCTGGGCCATCTTCCGCGTATGAGTTGAAGGTTATAGGAGACGCAGAGATGGCGGTGGAGTCAGGTGTTCGCACGCGATCCATCACGAGAACCTTGACGAATTAAATCCCACTGTGCCTAGCACACCCACCTGCGTGGTGTCGCTTTGCCTGATAGGGAGTAAGTCTTTGCTTATTCTCTTCATTTTAGGGTTGCTGTGATAACATACCTCGATACGTAGACAATAGACATTTTCTAAACCAACTCATATCCGCGTAAGGACCCTGTAATTTCAAGGCAACTACCTATCGATAAGAGCTATCATGGTTATGCACCCATGGTAAATTGACAATTCAACGCGGGCACCGAATCATTTGCAATACGTTTACATGTCTTGTGAACCTGTTCGAGACCATCAATCTCTC